CATGGAAAAACTGTGACCCATGAAATTGCTTCTTGTGCCAAAAGGTTGGGGATCACTGGTTTGTAATGCATTTTATAGAACATTTCCTGGTGGTAGAGTCTTCATTGCCTTCAATACCCATTTTACTCTTTAAATATATATGGGTGTGTGTTTTAGCATTTGTGTGTGTGTGTGTGTGTGTGTGTTGTTTGTGTTCTTTTTCAAAAGCACTATTAAACCAGGACTTTACAGTTGCCATTACCAGCTCCCTGGAGGAGGCACTTGGGAGAGTAGTTCAGAGGCCTGCTCCCAGGCTCCTGGCCTTGGTTTCCAGGTCCTTTTCTCCTCTGAGCACTTCCTTTTCTCCCTCCTGCCTCATCCTCCACCCCTCTCCTCTTGTATTCCCTTCCCCAGGAATGGTCCTTTCTCCACCAAAGGCCTATCTTCCTTCTTCGTGACTGTGAGATCATCTGGATGAAATTAATTCTTTATCTTCATTTTACCTGTCTCATGAGAAATAATTAAAAGTGTTTTTAAGCAGATCAAAGCTTTCCCCTTCTTTACCTTTTTGCTGTATATTATTTTATTTTTTATGTAACTAAATACATTTTTATTTTATTGAGAAACAAATTCAATGAGACTGTTTAAAAACTGATTAATAGGACAGTTTCAATAATTAATACATTGTACATTGTTAGATACATTATTTTAATTTCAGCCTCCAGCTTCCTTTCAGTTCAGGTGTGTCCATTATAAACAACATATGGCTGGATTTTTAGAAAACCTGAGGTAAGAGAGTGTGTTAATAGATGAATTTTACCCACATCTATTTAATATAGAAAAATGCCCATCTTTGGGCTTTCTGTCCATCATTGTTCTTTTTTTTTTTTTTATTAGTACTTGTACTGGAGTGATTGAACTTTCTTTTTTATGTTTTCCTTTCATACATTAGGGTGGTCATCCCGCTGCCTACCTCCCTATTTTCTACCCTTGCTTCCACCTCATATAGAGTACCCTGATGTGAGGGGACAATGGTCTGTTTCCCTCCATTCTTGTTCTTCTTTCTGCCATGTGGTAAGACTAATTTTCTCCTTGAGGTTAAATGCAGCAACCAGTCTAACTGAGTCAATAAAATGGGAGAGGAAGGCTAGGGGTGCAGCTCAATAGATGGACTGCTTAGCATGCTGAGTGCAATCCCCAGAACCTGGAAAAATGAGAGCAAATGGGCCCTTCAAAGTGAATGGCTAAAATTGTGTTGCTCTCCTCTCCACCCCCGCCTTTCCCAGCCGGGATGAGCACAACCACAGGAGCTCATAGCCACATGGAGTGGTGTCTGGGTGGAGCAGCCCGGGATGCTGAGCAATCATAGGAGACACTATCTAGATCTCAGCAGGCTTTGCACAAGGGAGAAACACACCTCAGTTAAGCCACAGACACCTGGAAGTTTGTTTCCCAGGAGAATCTGGCCTAAATTTTTACCCTCCCTCTTTTTATCTGAAATATAGACATACTGGCTGAAACTGTGGGCATCATTTTGAGAGCGTGATGCCTAGCATTGACTCCTACAGTGCAGTGTGGACTCAGGGCCGGACAGCAGTGCTATGCTGTGGACTTTTTGTTGTTCAGCTTCACTGTGGGAGAGGAACACAAGCTTCTGTTCTGGTTGGCCGCTGTCTTTCAGGTTTCTGTTCTTAACAGCCTAATGTAATTCTTCACTATAATGGGCATTATTCCACTGCTTTTTTTCTTTCTTTTTTTTTTTTTTTGGCGGAATGGGGATTGAACTCAGGAGGTTGCGCTTGCCAGGGAAGCGCTTATTCCACTGAGCTATAATGGGCATTATTGAGGCAACCTTTATTCTTCTAGTATTTATACCAAAATTACTTTTTCATATTTTTTCCATATAAACTTCATTTTAAAAAAAATTTTTAATGTGATTAGTACAGGGACTCACTACACAGATCAGACTCGTAGTGATCCTCCTGTTTTCAGCCTCCCAAGGGCTGGGATTACAGGTGCACACCACCATGTCCAGTCTCATTGCCCTATAAACTTTAAACATATCCAAAATGGAGTGAGTAGAAATCTGGCTGCTATAAAGATCAGCTGATGGTCAATAGTGTCTCATTAGCTCAGTGGATTAAGAGCCTGCTTAGGCAAGTGTAGGGACCAGGGTTTGATCCCCGGCAACACATGCCACACTGGCCCTGCCCCCAGGTGTGCTGAGCTGAACACCCAGTCCCAGCATAGTGGCGCATGCCTGTAATCCCAGCACTGGGAAGGCTGAAAACAAGAGGATCACTACAAGTCTGAGCTGTGTAGTGAAAACCTGTACCAAATACATAAAATAATAATAATAATAATAATAATAATAATAATAATAATAATATCTCATAGATTCCCTCATATTCCCCTTGGGATTCTTACAGCAGATCCTGCTGCTTTTCATGGGTGCTGTGCTGTTCTCAACTCACCCCCAACTGGTAGACATCCTTCCTTGTGTTCCTTCAGACCTAAACCTACTGTCTGTACTGCCCACGGTCTCTGCCTTGGCTCAGGTAGTGAAATGCCCATAGTCTATGGCTTCTTGTCTTGTGCCAGGCCTTTTTGGAATCATTAGTTCTTGGGGTCCAGGGACCCCAGCTACTACCAATCTCTATACGGGGGCAGAGATCATGGGGGTAGCCCTCAGACTCACTACTTGGCACCTTCCTTGGCTCTGGCTATTTTTAATCTCTGAGCCACAAGTTTCTGTATGATGAGAAGCTGGGTCATGTGTCTCTTGGGGATGTATATCACCAGGGGGAAGAGCAAGACTAGGGAAATCAGATCCTCCCAGAGTTCACTGGGACCCACTGCCGTCGCAAAGCTTCCAGCAGGCCCTCTTCTTCCCTGCTTAATGTCTCAGTGTACCATATCTGTTCTCAGGAAGAGTTCTGTACACAGTTCAATTCTAAATGACAGTGGGGAGGAGCAGTGAGTCTGTGGAGTCTGCTTTTGAGGGTCCCACTTGTATCTTCACCCCTGTTGAGGGTGGGGTGGCTCCACTAATTGGTTGGCACTGGCTGCTCTGAAAAGTAGCCTTTCTCCCAACTTCCTCCAAATCAACTGACTTCTACTTTTGGGATGCTCTGCTGACCCCAACCACAATTCAGACCATTGCTGCATATTAGAGGGGCACTCAAGGTTGTGGTTAAGGCCTTCTAGGTCAGGCTCTGAGTTTCCATTGCTCAAGCCTGTAAGGTACTATCTTCTTAGGATCCTGTCTACTTGGGACAAGAGGTCCCATCTATTCTCTCCCCACTCCCCAAGAGCTCCTCTCAGCTTTTCCTGTTACCAGTAGGTGCTGTGTCTTCCTGCTTTCAAAGTGTCCTAACCCCCAAGCAATGTTCATTTTGGATCCTGATTTCACTTTGCATTTGAGCTCTTCATCGAGCAGGATGTTTAGATGACTTGAATCTGCTGTGTTCAGCTTAGAATTCTGCACATCTCTTAGTGGAGCTACACAGGCTCACTGGAAGGCTTATCTCAAACAATGACTACACCTCAGGATCCTGATGACCAGGCCTCAAGCTAGGCCAGTTAAAGCAGAATCTTTGAGTGGATCCAGGCTGGGAGCATTTTAGTGACCTAGGAAATGTCTGCGTTCTATGTAGGTATTAGAGTCTTCAACTATTGCTAGAGCAGGTTTCTTTTTGGTGCTGAAGACTGAACCCAGGCTTTCATGTATGCTAAGCAAGCACTCTTCCAGGCTTTAACATTTCTCACTGCTGGGGTGGTGGCTACATGGCTGGTTAGGCAGAATCCCTGTAATACTCAGCAGCAGACCTCACTGTCTGGGGTGATGAGCACAACAGACTAAACCCAGGACCTTCCCATCTTCCACAGCTGCCATGGAATTCCCCACCTCAGACAGACAGGTGGACATGCACACACACACACACACACACACACACACACACCATGCATGCATGCATGCATGCATGCACACGTGCATACTCATCAGAGAGACTTGGAAAGAGCCTCCCTCCACTGCATGGCCCACAAAGATCTCTGCCTCCTGTGGAGGTCACAGGCCTGAGACTTCAACGATGGAGGCTCAGGGATGAGCATCTGAGGCATCAAGGTGAGAGTGAGAAATCTCAGCTCTGGATTATGAGGCAAAGACTGTGTGGTGCTCATGCCACGGATTCAGAGACACAGAGTGAGACCACAGAGCAAAGCAGAAGCCCATCACCCCACTGAGACCGGCCACGCAGAGGGGTGGTGGTATAGGGAGGGTATGGGAGAAGGGGCTGGGGGGTACACAGCTGCTTCTGAGAATGACAGGATGTAGGGGATGTGTGCCCAAACCCGTGACTTTTAGTGGCAGGGAAACCCTTCACCTGCCCACCCCAGCCTTCTCTCCTTGTTTGTTCATCCTCAGCTACCCCTCCCTCTCAACCCCATGCCTGGTCCTCTCAGGAAGTGTCCAGAAGAGAGGGGAAGCTATTTGTTCAGCTTCAGGGGAGGGAGGCAGTGAGCACAGCTGCTGCCCCTCAGCTCCTGCTCTGCCTTCCCCAGGGGCTCTGGCTGGCTTCCTCTCCCTCTGTCCCCAGGAGACACAGTGCCTGTCCTGCTGTTGCTCAGCTGAGTTACCTTGTCCTCTGGGCTGCCTGCCAAGCATTACGTTGGCCCTTAGCGGCCTGCATCACTGGCCTATGGAATCCCAGCTCCCCAGTTGGCCCTGCTGCAGCCAGACTCCCCAGTGCCCAACTCTGAATGGAGATGCCTAGGCAGGGACTGCAGAGAGAGGAGGTTAAGGCCTGATTTTTCTATGGAGAGACTGAAATCAGCGGACTGAGGCATGGAGCTTCAGCTGGACCCTGTGATTGACCAGGGATGGCATTAGGAGAAAGAACCTAAAGTGGATCCCTGGAGACAGGGGGTCTAGACCACAGCAGGGAACATTTCTGGGCAGAAGGCAAGAAAATTAGGGAATGAATCCTCTCTTGGAGCCTGCTCTCCATAGGGCACGTCTGTGGTCAGTAAGTGTATTTATTGAAAGAGAGATCCAGTCTCTTTGGCTCTGCGGTGTCCTAGGTCATGAGGATTTCGATGTCGAGCTCCATCCGCCTTGCTCTGACCTCATAGCAGCCCTTGATAAGGCCGCGGGTCTGGCTGGCATGCCAGCGCCAGTGAGTCTGGATGATGCAGGCAGCTTGTCGGGCCTGGAGGAAGCGCCTGCGGGCCTGCCACATCCGAACCTGGGCCTGCACCTTCACCACTGCCCACTCTTGGCAGGAGTAAAGTCTTAGTGCCAGGCGCCTTCTCTGCTCCATTGTCTTGGCCTGAATCGATCTCCACCAGCACTGGATGACCCAGGCCCTGAGCGCAGCGTGCAGTAGCGTCCGGCGCACCACATTGCCACGCCACCATGACTGAATCCTCACGGCTGCCTTCTCTAACTGCTTGAGGGAAAGAAGAACACAAAGGGCTCAGTGGGGCACACACCACTTCTGTCCCCACCTCTGGCGCTTGGGAGGAAAGGGGCTCTGGCCCCTGGGCGTTGCTCTGTTGTTTTTAGGCCCTGTCCATTTTATTTCCACCCCTCGCTCTTTCTTCGAGCCTCTCATCCCTCAGGCAGGCACCTCCTGGAAAGGCCAAACTCACCGTTTGTGTGTCCATGGCCCTGATCTCTAGAGTCTGCTTATGTTTCATTTAGGTTTTGGGCCTTTAGCCACACCCTCAACTGTTAGCCACGCCCTCATCATCAGACCCCGCCCACCTGCCCCAAAGTCTCCCGCTGCTCTGGCCCAGTCTGTCCACATCTCTCTTTCTATGCTGTATCTCCTTCTGGATTGGCTGGTTATTTCATTTATGTATTCTCATCACTCTAAGTGCCTACCATTATCTCTTACCTTCAGTTTATTTCTCAGGCCTCTTAATCCTCCTCTTCCTGCACTGCTGAGTCACTTATTTCTGCTTCTCCTGGGGGCAGTGCCCAGCACCAGAGGGACTGGGCAGACAGGAAAAGCAAAGTTTGGAAAATAAAGATCCAGAAGTGGAGTAAAAAAACTCTTCTCCTTAGCTGACACGTAAAGCTGTAGGTACAAGATTCAGTTCTCATTGATGCCTGATCAGAATTGAGATTTTCTTTGGTCAGGATACTTGACAAAGTAGTGGTATAAACATAATATATTTTCTTTTTCTTTTTTTGATGGGAATTTTATGAGATAGAACTTAGATCTATCAGATCAAACAGAATCTCTTTGATCACAGGGCAAAAACCAGAAGAGCAAGTGCAGATGGTATGGTAGTTGATATAAGAAATCGTGTTTTGGGCTGGAGAGATAGCTCGGTGATTAAAGCGCCTGCCTGGACAGTGCAAGGACTAGGGTTCAGTCCTCAGCACTACATGCTGTGCCAGCCCTGGAACCCCAGGGAAGCCAAGCAGGCCACTAAAACTGGGTGTGATGGCTCATGCCTCTAATCCCATCACTGGGAAAGCTGAGACAGGAGGATCACTACAAGTCCAAGCTGCTTAGCGAGACCTTGTACCAAATAAATAAGTAAATAAATAAGTTATTTTTAAAACATTCGAAAAAATCATGTTTTATGCATTCCAAGTGTCACCAATAATCATTTTTCTATAGAAAATCATGTTTCAAAATCATCATATGAAGGTAAAAATGTAAGAAAATATTACAAAGATGGGCAGGTAATATAAACCTTATGCTTCAAGTATTAGCCACTTTAAAAAAAATTGTGATTTATTTTCTTGTCCTAAAAATGCTCACTTCACCCTATATCTGTAATTGTCTATGCTTGCTTTTAAAGTAGGCCTTCCAAATAAAATAAGCTTCAGCTCCCACAAAAATCTAGATACTCCCTGAATGCTGTAAGAGTGCGGTTGTGCAGCCAGCTCTCCTGCGAGCTCACAGAGCCGTGTTCCTAGGGTTCTGAGGTTAGCATTGGCTCTGTAGGCGATGCAGAAGGACCGCAAGGCCTTTGGGATTTGGAAGCCGTTTGGGCTCTGTTTATCATTTCTGATTCTGCATAGGGATGTGCTGGGTGCTGTGGCTTGTTCAGCCAGCCACTATCTGCAGCTCCTGGTTATGCATATTTGAGAGTCCTGCTGCCTTGTACAGTACTGTCCATCTGGGTGTCTTCTAAGTTCTGGCTCCACCATCAACCAAGAAACTGGCTTTCATCAAGTTCAAAATTCTTGGAAGAGACCATCCTCTGCTTTCTTTAATGGTCACTGATCTGGGTGAACACAGCATGAGTCCTTGTATGTTTTTTTTTTTTTTTCTCTCCCAGAACCGGGGATTGAACTCAGGCCCTTGCGCTTGCCAGGGAAGCGCTTATTCCACTGAGCCATCTCCCCGGCCCCCGAGTCCTTGTATTAAAGTGTCAGTCTTAGTGTAGAATATATTCATTTAGAACAGGGTTGGGGACATGGCCAACTTTCCAGAGCTCTGCCCATCCAGACAAGGTCTCCACAACACACCTTTCCTCCCCAACTCTGGTCTGATTAACAGTAACACCATGACTATCTCCTTCCTGAATGTCCCTTTTGTGTTCAGTTTTGCAGTTATGTACAAAATGGCAGTGGATGTGTTGTGGGCTCATTGTTCTAGTGTGGTTTGAGTTTATCCCCAAGGGTTTACTGCTGGAAACTGGTCCCAGGGTGGTGCTGGGACACGGAAATTTTAAGAGGCTGACTCTAGTGAGAGAGCTCCTTAATCCCTGGTGGTTGCTTCTCTCTGAAGGGATGAAGATAGGTCTTGTGGAGCTTCTGAACTCTCAAAAGAGCACACTGTGCTGAGAGTAAGCCCAACTTCTGACCACTCTGGCTTCCAGCTTGCAGTGCCGTCTCTTTATCCCACACAATCCTGCTCCTATGATGCTGTCCATCATGAGGTCCTCACCACAGCTCAGCACACTATCCCCTCAAATCTCCAGAACTGTGGCCCCCTTTAAACTGGGGTCTGGACAATTAGCTATGCATGTACAAAGAGTACATCTAATGTCTAAAGAAATATATAATCTTTTGTACTTCTGTATATTTTCTTTCTATTAAATGAAATAGGGCTGGGGAGATAGCTCAGTAGAATAAGCACCTGCTTGGCAAGCACAGGGTCCTGAGGGCAATCCCCCATACCATGGAAAAAAAAAAAGAAGCAAAAATCACTCAACATAAATCAACCACTTAAATCATTTTGAGCTGTATTTTTGGTGGTTTTAGTCCACTGACAATATTCTAAAGCTGTTACCATTCCTGTTTATAACTTCATCAAAAATCCTGAATCCATTGATCCCAGCCCACAGCAATCACTAATCTGCTCCTCATCTCCCTCTCTTTAGTGGCTGAATAATATCCCATTCTATGGATATGGCATATTTGTCTTATGTGTTCATCGGTTGGCGAATGTTCAAGTTGTCTCTACTCTTTGATGAATAGTGCTGCTATAAACACCTGTTTTCAATTCTTTCTGCTATACACTTAAGAAGGAGTCATACTGGAATTCTGGGTTGAACTTTTTCAGGAATTACAGTATTTTTTTTCACACAGCCAAACAATTTTACACTCTCACCAATCTCTGTGCCCTGATGCACTCTTGCTGTCCCCCGCCCTCTTTAAACAACATCGCCATCCTAGTAGGTGTGAAGTGGTATCTCACTATACTTACGATTTTTCATTTCACAAAGACAAGTGATTTGAAGGCATGTTCATGTGGTTTATGGCCATTCACCTATCTTCTTTAGAGCAATGTCTACTCAAGCCCTTGCCTTACAATCATCTTGTTTAAAAACAGGGATTTGTTCTGAGAATGTGTTATTAAGCAATTTCACCATTATGCAAATATCACTCAATGTACTAAACACAAGTACTTACATTGATTGTACTTACGGAGCCAGATTGCTCCATGTCAGTAGGCAGTAGAGTCTTATGGGACCACCACAGTGTTACAGGGTGGGTGACTTTTTTCATTGTTGAATTGTAAGAGTTTGATAATATATTTGGGACACAAATATATGACTTGAAATATTTTCTCCCATTCTGCAGCTGTCTTTTCATTTTCTTCATTTGATACGTGGAGGTTTTTAACTGTGAAGTCCAATTCATCTATTTTTCATCATGTGTGCTATGGCATCATAGGTAGGGATCCACTGCTCAAACCACAAGGTCAGTAAGATTTGCTTGAGTATTTTCTTCTAAGGTTTTTACAGTTTTATCTGTTACACTTAAGTCTCCAATTGATTTTTTGAGTTAATGTTTGGAAACATGGTGGGGTAAGACTACAGTCATTCTTTTGCATGGAGTTGTCTAGTTGTGCCACCACCTTTGTTAAACTGAGTATTCTTTCATCCAAGCCTTAGTAATTTTGTTGAAAATCAAATGAATGTAGATGTTTGGTTTTATTTCTAGCCTCTCATTCTATTCTATGAATTCATGTATCTTTCCTTATTTCAGTACCACACTGTCTTGATTACTGTAGCTTCATAATGTGTTTTAAAGTTTGAAAGAGTGAGTCTTCCAACTTGGTTTTTTTTTTTTTTTCAAGATTGTTTTGACTAGAGCTGGGTGTGGTGGCACATGCCTGTAGTCTCAGCAGTCTGGAGACTGAAACAGGAGAATCATTGGGAGTTCCAGACCAGCCTGGGCTACAAAGTGAGCTAAAGGCCAACCTGAAGCGCATGGCAAGACCCTGTCTCAAAAAGACAAGAAAAAATAAATGTTTTGACTACTTAGAATTCCAAGCAACTCCATATGTACTTTAAGATTAGCTTGCCAATTTTTATCCAAGAAAGGGATAAAGACTGCACTGAATCTATAGGCCAGTTTGGGGAATATAAAGCCTACCAACCCATGATGGAATATTTTTCAATTTATTTAGACCTTCTTTCATTGCTTTCAGCAATGCCTGGTGGTTTTTAGTATACAACTTTTACAACCTGCATGGTTAAATTTCCCCTTAATAATTTTATTCTTTTTCTTGCTATTAGAAGTAAAACTGTTTTCTTGATTTTATTTTGACTTTCTCAATGCTAATATACAGAAATACATGTGATTTTTGCATGTTGATCTTATATCGTACAACTTTGCTGAATTAGTTTATTAGCTCTAATATATTTTCTTTTTGGATTTTCTACATATAAGGTCAGATCATCTGCAAGTACAGATTGCTTTAACTGTTTAAATCTTATTTATTTATTTATTTATTTATTTATTATGTGTTTAGTACAGGGTCTACAGGGTCTCACTATTCAGATCAGTAGTGATCTGATCAGAGGATCATAGTGACCCTCCTGTTTTTAGCCTCCCAAGCCCTGGGATTACAGGCATGTGCCACCACACCCAGTCTCAATCGCAGTCTCAGTGTGCCCTGGGCATAGGGCCAGCGTGGCATGCTGGGGATCAAACTCTGGTCCCTGCATCTGCCTCAGCAGGCACTTTAATCCCCTGAGCCATCTGGCCAGTCCAAACTCTTCAAATTTAGATACGTTTTAGATCTCTTTCTTACTGAAGTCTCTGACTCAAACTTCCAGTGCAATGTTGAGAGGCAGTAATGAAAACAATTATTTGCTTTTGATCTTGGGAAGGAAGTTTCAATCTTTCACCAGTAAGTATGGTATTATATGGGTTGGTGGGGTTTTCACAAATGCATTTTACCAGGTTGAGGAAATTTCCTCTCATTCCTAGTTGGTTGGAT